AGCATCCTCGTCAGCGGCGAGTCGGGCGCGGGCAAGACGGAGACGACCAAGATCCTCATGCACCACCTCGCGGCCATTGCCGGCGGCCTCCACGACTCGACGATCGAGAAGATCATCCATGTCTCGCCACTCCTCGAGTCGTTTGGGAACGCCAAGACGGTCCGAAACGACAACTCGAGTCGGTTTGGCAAGTTTACGCAGCTGCAGTTCGACGCAAATGGCACGCTGGTCGGCGCCAAGTGCAACACGTACCTCCTCGAGAAGACACGCGTCGTGTCGCACGAGCCACAGGAGCGCAACTACCACATTTTTTACCAGGTATCCATCTTTTCACTGCAAGCGTACGCTGCAACTCCATAGCTCCTCGCGGCCAATGGCCCCGACTGCCTCTTGGACCCGACCGAGACGTATGCGTACACGGGTGTGCCGACGGCGACGGCCATCGAAGGCGACTCGGACGCAGCGCACTTCACCAAGACCACGCAGGCGCTGTCCCGCCTCGGGCTCTCGGGGGCGGCGCAGACGACGCTCTTTCAGACGCTCGCCGGTATCTTGCACCTCGGGCAGCTCCAACTCGAGCCCAAGGGCGATGAGATGTCGACCATCGGCCATGGCTCGACGGGCCACCTTGTGGCGATCGGGAAGCTCCTCGGTGTCGAGACGACGGCGATCACGCGGGCCATCTGCTCGCGCACCGTGCGCACGTCGACCGACACGATTCAAGTCTATTTGAAAAAGGTATCCATGTTGGCCCATTTGGAGAATTTGAGATTTGGGAATACTTGATACATTGATATGAAACGATGTTTTTTGGTGTGTAGGCCGAGGCCGAAGGCTGCCGCGATGCGCTGGCCAAAGGACTCTATGCGAGTCTCTTCGAGTGGCTCGTGACCACGATCAACGCGTCGCTCAGTCACGACGCGAGAATGGCCCATCACATTGGCGTCCTCGACATCTTTGGGTTCGAGCACTTTACGACCAACTCGTTTGAGCAGTTTTGCATCAACTACGCCAACGAGAAGCTGCAGCAAAAGTTCACCCAAGACGTCTTCAAGACGGTCCAGATCGAGTACGAGGACGAAGGCATTCGGTGGGCGCACATTGCGTTCCTCGACAACGCCGACGTCCTCGCCGTCATCGAGTCCAAGCTCGGGCTCATCTCGCTCCTCGACGACGAAGTCATGCGACCGCGGGTACGCTTTCTATCTCCATCTATTCCATCTCTGGAAAAATCATGAAAAATCATGAAAAAATCATGAAAAAATCATGAAAAATCATGAACAAAGCTTGAAAAAGCACCACAACTCGCCCCTCACCACCACGCGTAGGGCAACGAAGAGTCGTTTGTCGCCAAGGCCATGACGCTCCACAAGGACGACGCGAACACGGTCATTGAGTTTCCGAAAACCAACAAGGCGCAGTTCACCATCCTCCACTACGCCGCGCCCGTGACGTACACGGTGACCGGGTTCCTGGAAAAGCACAAGGACGCGCTCTTGCCGGACCTCGCGGACCTCGTTCGGTCGTCGTCGATTCCGTTCGTGTCGGAGCTCTTTGGCAAGCCGGCGGCGCCCCGGCAGGGCCGCGCGCTCAACACGACGACGGTCGGCATGCAGTTCAAGGCGAGCCTCGCCGACCTCATGGCCAACATCCAAGCCACCAACGTCCAATACATTCGCTGCATCAAGCCCAACGCGGTCAAGCAGCCCGGCGTGTTGGACCATACGATGGTGGTCGCGCAGCTGCGGTGCGCCGGCGTCATTGAAGCCATCCGGATCGCCCGCGCCGCATACCCGATTCGACACACGCACGACGCGTTCCTCGACCTCTACCGTGTCTTGCTGGACCGGAAATTTGCGTCTGGACACCCCGCCGAGCAGTGCGCCTCGGTAGTTTTTTTCCATCTTTCAAGATGGTATCAAAGTTTCATTATTACTGTACTAGCTCATTGCACCCCTCAACCTCGAGACGCCGACACACTACCAGCTGGGCCGGACCAAGGTGTACTTTCAGGCCGGCGTCCTCGAAGCGCTCGACCAAATCAAGCGCACGCGCTTGACGGTGCACGCACTTCAGATTCAGCGCTTTGCGCGCATGTTCCTCGCCCGATTGCACTATCGGCGCCAACGTGCGGCGATCGTCAAGCTCCAGGTGCGCTTCGTATGCACTTGAAGCGCGCACGTTTAGACACGGGCGTAGGCGGTCGTGCGCTGTGTGCTCGCGATGAAGCGGTACCATGCGCTCTACAACGGGATGCTGGCGTTCCAGGCTCGCTGGCGCGGCGTGAAGGCGCGTCGCGTCTTTGCCGTCATGCAGCGCCGCCACAAGGCCCTCGTTGTGCTAAGCCACGTCCGGGGGTTCGCCGTCCGGTAGACTTTTTGATGGTTTTCAAGTGCGCGCACTCATGATGCGCGTAGGCAACGCTTTCTCCGGCTCAAGCGCGCGGCGACGACGATTCAAGCGGCGATGCGCATGCACTTGGAGCGCAAGAACTTTCAAACCAAGCTGGCCGAGCACCGCGATCAAGTCAACATGTCGACGCAGCTCCGCTCGTTGCGCGTGCGGCTCCAAGTTGAGCAGACGAAAGACGAAGAGGAAGTCGTCGCACCCGCGCCGTCCACTGCGGCACTTCTCAACCGTCAGCGGAGCAAGTCGAGTGCGCAGCTGGTCATGGCCGACGCCGACGGCATGATTGGCCGCATCTACGACGACAATGCGCGTCTCCGCAAGGAAAACGACGACATGAAGACAATGTTTCATACGATACGCGATGAGTGCGACAAGCTCAAGCAAGAGAAGGAGATGCTTCTGGCGACGCACCAGCTCAAGCTGCGCCAGCAAGACGATCTTGTACGCATCCGTGGACACGCGTCCATCGTACAACAATGTGTGTATTCTAGTGTCGGGAAAAAGACAAGACGATTGCGCAGCTCCAGAAAGACCTCGAGAAGCTCCGTGCGTCGGGTCCTAGTGGCATAGTGCCATCGGCGCCGACGTCGGCGTCGTCCAAGCCGAGAGGCTCGACGTTCCGGACGCTCGGGTCCAAGAAGGAGTCGAGCAGTAGCAGTCCGCCGCGCGACTCGCACGCGCTCCAAGAGCTCGAACAGGCGGCGATTTTGTCGGAAAAATCCGCGACAACCACGCAGTTTCTGCAAGACTCGGCGCAGAAGCTCTCGACGGCGCTCGATGTGGACCCGACGGCGACGCGCCTCGCCCTCTCCAACGGACTCGTGAGTGCCCGCACTGTCCGGTACGCTGTGTTGATTGGTGAGTTTGGTGTCGACATGCGTGACGCTAGCGCATCACCGGCGGTCTCGAGTTTGCGGGACCGCCTCGCGGGGCTTCGCAACAAGTACCACAACATTGATCTCGGCGATGAGTTTATGCCACGGCCGTCGGTCACCGACTCGGTCTACCGCGGCTCGATGATGCACAGCTTGATCCTCCCGCCGGGCTGGGAGATGCGCATGTCCCGCACCAAAGGCCGGCCGTATTTCCTCAACGAAGAGCTTCGGCTGACGCTTTGGGACCCGCCGACCGAAGAGAACGTTGCGCGCGCCATGCGCAAGCGCGATAGGTTGAGTTTTCGAGGTAGGACTGGGACTTATGTGTTTTCTAGTGCGGGCCGACAGAGCATGGCGTCGACGACGAGCGATGCGCAGTAGAACGAAATATAACGCCAACACACCAGACGACGACACGCAGCTATACTGCAGATAGTTAGCCCATGTTGCCATGAGTCTGAATGCAGAGCAGCGAGCCATTCTGAGTGGGTGAGATGGAAGCGGAAAGGGCTCTCCGTGATGACCGTGATGTCTTCAACAGAATGTGCAGTGGCGGCTGCCTCTGCCCTTTTTCCCAAGGTCGTGGATCACGTGATGGATGGATGGATAGATAGATAGATAGATAGATAGATAGATAGATAGATAGATAGATAGATACAAAGCGGTGCCTACCAGAGGTGTCGGATCGTTTGGATGGCATGTCGAATGTGCTGGCACGTTCCCAGCGCATCGATCGGTTTGAAACCCGTGGTTTTGGTTGTTTCAAACACCTGTTTTAAACAAGATGCACTTTTGGTATCATCGATTTAAGCTTATGCAATCCGTCGATGACTACCGTGGTACCTTGCTGCTGCTGGTGTGCGCCATGCCACCGCTTGCTGTGTCAACGACGTCTCAAGCCTTCCGCCTGCTTGTTCCACGCGACTTCTTAATTTCAACGATCACTACATACTGTAATCTCAAGGTCGAGCAGACATGTTTCTTTGCGGCTTCGGCGGTGCTCGCGCTGAAGTCCACTGAAATCGTGACCTCGCTGGTCTTCCTTCCTTTGTATATGGAAAGCTTCTTCTTGACGTGTCTCCGAGCTCTGCATGCATCTAGGACTATGCATGCGGTGGACATTTGCATGTCATGGCCGCGGTTGAAGTGTTAGATTCGGTTGCCCGCGTAGTTATAACACGACTGACAGCCGGATACACTGCCCGAGCTTTGCGTCCATTCCACAGAGGACACAAACGGTCATCGTCCCTTGGCTGCGACCAAAGCACCTCCACTTGAATCTTCTCCAGCCCATTATTGCATCAAGGCGTTGTGCAACCCGCTTAAAAGGCCATCGGGTGCTCTAGGGTCACATCATCCTCACAACCGACGTCACGTCAACGTGTTATAACAATTCAAGTGTTATAACCTTGCGGCTTGGAACGAGTCGGGAATTCCCCGATACACGTCAGATTGCATTTTGCCACCGACCGCTAAGAACTTGAGACCCATGAGCTGCTGCCCGCCTGGCTCCCATCCCGCTGCGCCGACGACGAGCAACCTTGCGCCCATCAGCATGGCCGGCACGCCCGTCTTCTTCTACGACAACCCGACCTCGCCCATTTGCGTCCTCGTCGTGCCCGACATCTTTGGCCCGGACAGCGGCCGCACTAAGGACAATTGCCTTGCGCTCAGCGCCCACTACAAGGTCGCGCTCCTTGATCTTGTCGACGAGTACTTTACGGCGGCAGACGACATCGGCGAGAAGCTCCCGGGCTGGGTCATGGCGCGGCCCTTTAGCGCGATCCTGCCCAAGATCCAAGCTGCGGTGGGCCATCTCCAGTCGCAGCACGGCGTGACCTCGTTTGCGGCCATGGGCTACTGCTGGGGCTCGTGGGTCGTCGGCAAGTACGCGGCCGACGCGTCCTCAGTGCTCACCTCTGGCGTCCACTGCCACCCGTCGTGGGTCCTCGAGCAGTTTTTTAGCGGCCCCGGCAGCGGCGAAACGATGGCCAAGCCGATTGCGTCGCCGCAGCTCATCCTCGCCGCGGGCAACGACCCGGACTGGGTCAAGGCCGGCGGGGCCGTGCACACGACGCTCGCAGCCAAGCCGTTTGGCGCGCAATGCAAGTTTGTCGCGTTCGAATCCATGGTGCACGGCTGGATGTGCCGCGGCGACATTACCGACCCCGCGATCCTCGAAGCCTTCAACGCGGGCTGGAACGGTGAGATCCTTCCGTTCTTGGCCGCCACGCTACAGTAAACGACGGGAAGGAATCGTCATTCTAAAACCTCTCTGCAAGTTATACTGTGGTTAATACGAGTATGCGTGAAGCCGATTTCTTAAACTACCAACGATTCGCCGTCCTTGATTCGCTTGATCCAAAGCACGAAAGTATAGGTACCGTTCATGGGCGCAGTGACAGCTCGTCCACGTTCGCGGGTCGGTCGGTATCAATGTATCAAGTACCCTCTCTCGAAGCACCATGTCCATGCCTTGTGACGGTGTAGAGAAATACATGGGAAGCTACGTGGTGGCGCTGCAGAATGTATCAAACAGAGCAGCTTGCGGTATCCGCTTGACGTATTGCGGTCCACAAACAACAAGCAGTCCCGCTGCGGCGCTCGCGATCTAGGCCGCTACTATGACACGACTGCACTTGGCTATATGCGTTGTGATGCCATCGATTGCAAAGTCGCTCCACGCTCTCCGCGACGACCCTTGCTTGTTCCTTGCACAATTCCGCAACACAAACACAAGGGGCCAACATGGACCCTTGACGACCGCTCGTCGTTGGCCGCACCAACCGGCCGCACGAGCGCATGATACAAGTCCACTATCTTGCAATATGTAGTATTTCATTTCAACAACAACAGGCACGTAATGAGATTTTGACACACTGGGGTCGGCGCGAGTGACGTGGCACAACGACAGCAACTGAAATAGCATATCAAAACTAAAATGGGGTGGTCCCCCGGAGTCGTACTGACGAGTACTTGCACATTAGAAGCACGGTGTGAAACAGTCAGTCGCTCAGAGCTTGTCAAGCTGTCGCCCGAAGCATACGCCAATCGTACGATAGGCGTCACGACGATCCACAGGATGAAGCTGCATGTGTGACCCACGGTCATCTCACCCGTGGACTGTCACCGACCAGCCTGTCCTCGCCAACCTCTTCTCTGTATATATCTAGGCAACCACGAACTTGCAAATCATCTTTGGTGCCAAAGCAACCACGGACAGCAATGAGCGCGTAGTGCACCCAGACTTGGCGCAGGTCGCCAAAGCTACGGCGCACAAAAAAGCGCGCGATCTGGTTGCAGGCGCCGGAGCCGCCGCGCAAGCTGTTGCGCCGACGCATACGTCCCTGGCTCGCGGCCACAGGAAAGGCATCCACCCTCGAGACCTCAGCAAAGCGATCTCATCGGGCATGCAGCACGTCAAGTGTCTCGGCGGCTGAAAAGCATAAAAGCGTGGTAGCGTGGGGTATGGCTGCATTAGGGGCCATTTTCTTACTGTATAGATAATCGACTAGCACTAAGTTGAGGGGGCGTTTAGATGTACGCCCAGCCCGAGCGTTCAAAGGCGGTATCGCGCGTCGGCTTGTTGGGGCTGGCGGAGGGCGACCCCTTGGTGATGGCAACCTTGGCCTCGGCAACGCTCTTGATCGAAAAGGTCGGCTCCATGATGATCTTGGCCAAAGTCGTCGACACGTTGGTCATTCAGACGAAATGTGGAAATGAGCTGTTTGCAGTGCGAGCTCCAAACGCCACGTTGAACTTCAAGCGCGCCAGACGTCTACGTATCTCCTGGCTCATTTTGCATTTGTGTCGTGCGGCGCATTTTACATTTTTATTCCTATATCTTTGTTTTTGTATTGTAAATTCGTCTTTTCGATACAATGCGTCGACACAAACGCGACGCATCGCTTACCATGTGGTTTCGCCGGCGATCAACCGGATCTTTCCATCGTTTGGATTGGTCGAGACAACTTCAAGAACACGTTTGATAGGTAATCCGCAGATCGACACGCGCGCGTCACTTCTCTTTTGATCGGCTCGAGCCAATGAAATCGCGTCGACGGACGACCGGTGCCCACGCCGCTTCAACCAGTGCATTCTTTGGCGCCGGCGACTGCGCTCGTGTCTTGGGTGCTTCCGACGTCGAGCTGCGTCCCTTTGCTGCGTGTCTGGGTCGCATTCTATCATCGCGAGCCAAGTTAGTAGAGTCGCTCGCCTTCGCAGCGACGAGACAGAGGCGGCGACGCCCCAGGATCGGTGCAAAAGAAAGATCGCATCGACGCTAACGAGAGCAGCATCGACGAGAGACCAACTTCAATGTGGAAATAAATCGAGTTAGGCGATCTTTGACATTACTGCACTCTGCGTACAGTACTCTGCGTCGTCAGACACCTATCGCATCCAGGATCCAACGTTGATTTCATGTATGTCGAGGTCGGTCGGTCACGACGGGCGACTACATCCTTGGTTGCCATTCCATGTCGAAACCGAGCATTGGTAGAGGTCGTCGTCTCAAGTCTGTCAGCGTAGAGAGGCTCCGATGGCTTGCCTTGGATGGAAAATGGTCCGAAATCAAACTCTTCTGCGCGGGAAGAGCGTCGTCGTGGCCAATGCATTCGAGCACCAGCGTCAGGCTTGTCATACGAAGAAGCCCCGTCTCGAGTGTAAAGGAGACCACACGTGCTAGTCATGCGTGTTGGTATATATCCCCTTGGCGGCTATGTCCCTGTACTTTAACGCGTTTAACGTGAGGCGCCCGTGAGGTTAAAACCCTCGCGTGGCAGCACGGGAGAGAGGGTGCAGGGACCTTGCGGGCCAATCGACATCGCCGGCGCATATTACTCACAGACCGATGTCGCAGTTGTAGGCCGCTTTGCCTCGATATGCCATTGCGCATCCACCATGACGACGCCCGCCGCCCTCCACGTCTTGTCATCGCCCGCGCTGCTTGGTGAAATTACGGGCTTTAGCCCTGGCTGGCGACTTAGGGACTGGTACACCCATGCATCATACTACGACACAAGTATCGTTCGTCTCACGCGATGCTAGGACGGACGGCAACAAGGCGGCGGCGCTCGGCTATGTCTACCTCTGCGAGCACCAGCCGCGCCTGGCTTTTCCAAGCGCGCCGTCGACTTGGCCGTCCGACACGGCCATCTGCCCATGCTTCGCTGGCTGCAGACCCATCGCAAGGGCGAGATTTCGTTCATGACGTGGGACTTTGCGGCCAAAGGCGGGTTCACCGACATCGTGCGCTTCCTCGTCGCCCATCACTCGCCGCATGGCTCGACGAACGCACTCGACTGGGCAGCGGCGTATGGACACCTCGAGACGGCGCGGTATCTTCTCTGCGAGGCCAAGCTGGTGCGTTCAAGCAGACGGTGCGGTCATGCTTGAACGAAGAGCGTAGGGACATGGGACGACGTATGGGATGAACCAAGCGGCCAAAGAAGGGCACTTGGCGATGGTGCAACTGCTCCACGCGCACAGCAACGCTGGGTGCACGTACCATGCGATGGACGAAGCGGCCAAGCACGGCCATTTGGAGGTTGTCTGCTTCTTGCACGAGCATCGCACCGAAGGCTGCTCGGTCGCCGCCATGGACCACGCGGCGACCAACGGTCATTATGAGATCGTGGTCTTCCTGCACACCCACCGGTAGGGTTCTGACATCTCCATATCGCGAAATGGCAAGTTGATAAGGACACTTTCAATGGTAGGTCGGAAGGGTGCTCGGCCAAGGCGCTGATTGGCGCGGCAACCAACGGCCACTTGGCCATTGTACAGTATCTCGAAGCGATGACGGCGTGGCCGTATGACATTGCGCTCCTCGATGGCGCGTCGACGAACGGACACCTCGCTATGGTCGAGTATCTGCACGCACGGGGGCTTCCCGCGTCGACACGGGCGATGAATGGCGCCGCCAAACATGGCTATTTGAACGTTGTGCGCTGGCTCCATGTGCATCGGGACGAAGGCTGCTCGACGGACGCCATGGACCTGGCCGCGACACACGGACATCTCTCCGTGGTCGACTTTCTCCACGCCTACCGTGTAAGAGCGGCAATGTCTATCGTTTGAAGTTGACTCATGGCACGTACTAGTGCGAAGGCTGCACCGTCCACGCCATGAACGGCGCCGCGAGCAACGGGCATTTGGCGATAGTTCAGTGGTTGCATGCGCATCGGTACGACCTTGTTTGCATAGTATGATGACACTATTGACATGACGATATTTCCACAGGCTCGAAGGCGCCACCGAGCGCGCCATCGACGGCGCCGCCGCCAACGGCCATTTGGACGTTGTTCAATGGCTGCACACCCACCGGTACGATCGACGTGGCGTCGTATTTGTTGTGACGACGACACATGGCTGTAGAAATGACGGGGCGTCGACCCGGGGCATGGACTATGCGGCCCTCCATGGCCACCTCGATGTTCTGCAGTGGCTTCAAGCCCATCGGTGCGACGCGATGGAGATTGAATGGTACGGATGGGACACATATTGTAGGAACGAAGGCTGCACGACGTGGGCCATGGACTGGGCCGCGTCCAAAGGGCGGCTTGATATTGTGCGCTTCTTGCACGCACATCGCAGCGAAGGGTGCACGCAAAACGCCCTCGAGTGGGCCCAGCAGCACCACCATGACGACATGGCAGCATGGTACATTCCAGAGTACCTATCGACGCCTAGTGGCTCATACATGGCATGCACCTCGGCTGGTCGCGCATGGCTACGACCACGTGCCGCAGTGATCGCGTACGGGCTGCCGTGCCGCCACAATTGCTTCGCTGCGATAAGGATATGTTGATTGTTGGCGAGAGCGTAAATCATAGAAATGCAGTGTACAATGCAGTGTTAGACCAGAATGGGTATAAAACGATTTGCACGCTTGGAGGCCATCCACTCTGTTGACGAAAAGCATGCTCTTTGGCACGTGCAGCCCCCAGAGCGACGCGCCGTCTCCTCTTACGAGTTGGCTGCGTCGCATCCTTTCCAAGCGCGATGCACGATGTACTACGTGCCACCGCTTGCGCCAGAGGGGCACCACCCCGCGCGCAACGAGCCACAAGCGCAACCGATTCTCGTCTCTCGTGCGGATTCCAGACAAGGACAAGCACAGCGCAGAAAGCCCAGACCATATTGTGGGCGGTTGGCGCGTGTCGTACATTCCATCGCAGGTCTCGCAGTGGAAGGAGACGCGCAAGTCGTTTGGGTCCTACAACCCGATCGAAAAGGAGGTCGTATGCGCGTTTTGCGAGTCGAAAAAGAACAAGCCGACGCCGTTGTCGAGCGACAACAACAACAATGAGGACGACGACGATGACGACTACTAGTGACAATATTGTTGCCTCTCTCTATAATTTAGGTTTTTTCGCATGGGGTGTGGTGGACTTAAAGGTGTGTAGTATAGTATAGTCTTTGTGAATCTGTCGATTTAAGATGGTGGTGGTTCTCGTGCTTGATTCCCTACTCTGCTCATCGCAGACGCACTGTCGTTGCATGGCAAATATGAAGAGTGGCCCTCGCGGGCCAGAGATCGCCTAGTGCTGCGTTGCCCGAGGTGCCAAGCTCGCAGGCCCAAGCCGTCCAGCCACAGAGTGACCCGTGAGCCCATCCTCTTGTTGCGAGATTTCATGACCAAATATATTTGCTTGCACTTAACCCTCCCAGACCAGACCTTGACAAGATCGCTCCCCATTTTGCTAACCCTGGGTTTGAGATCTTTGGCAAAAGGCCGAGAAGGCATCAAGAACGACATGCGGGTTCGGATTGCGCGCTTAAGTGTCTTCGTCGACAGAGTACCACGGCAAGCTGCACAAATGCGTGCACTAGATTTCGGACGCGCCATAACCTGGCCCAACGCACAAAGTGGGCAACCCCTTGGTACACTCATCGGGAGCGCGTCACGCTGGAGAGGTTGAGCCAAATAAAACAAGTATAGAGGAATAGAAGTCGAGTGCAGTAGGTAGGTAGGCTTCACAAGGGAGGAGTGCTAGGCCCTCGGAAACCAGTCCAATAGTCAGTGGCAAGCCAACTGGACTATCGGAAGTTGTAAAAATGAATGTGAAAAAAACCCACACCGAAGTGTGGAAATCAGTTTTCACACTGATTAGAACAGATACTACACTTGATCTTAGCCAAAAGGCCGAGCTCTTGACAAAATCTTCGTCTCGACGGGAATGAGTGCAATCGGGCGGTAGTTGCCCGGGTTGCTCTCACTGCCGCCTTTGTACAGCATGACGACTGCCGACGTCCGTTGTACCTTGAGCAGCTCGCCACGGCGCAGCTGCTGTTCATACACGAGCGCCAAGATCTGCCCAAACGTGGTCGGAGCGACGTGGTAGAACCGCGCCGGGAACCCGTCTGGCCCTGGAGCACGATCTGGGTGCATGGACTTGATGGCCGACGTGAGATCGTCTGCGGTGATCTCGGAGCTCCTGCCCGAGTGGGAGTTTGCCCGGGAGCACATCGAGTCCTTGGGGCTCGGCCTCATCATGGTCATGTTCCACCAACTTTGGACGTTG